GACCTGAGCTGAAGTCGGACGCTTAACCGACTGAGCCACCCGGGGGGCCCCACTTCTCTCTTTTTTAAAAACAAATTTTAAGTTCGTTTATTTATTTTGAGAGAGACAGAGACAGCGTGAGCAGGGGAGGGGCAGAGAGAGAGAGAGAGAGAGAGAGAATCCCAAGCAGGCTCTGCACCATCAGTGCAGAGCCTGATGGGGCTTGAACACACAGAATTGTGAGATCATGACCTGAGCGGAAACCGAGTCATACGCTTCACTCACTGAGCCACCCGGGCGCCCCTTACCCATACTTTTCTCTCTAATTACGGATATGTTTGTTGGGCGTTTTTACTGTGCACTGTATCTTTTACACGCGTGCTTTTATTTGAGCCCCCCCCCCAAAATGCCACGAGATGCAGGTGTAATTATGACTTCTGTCTGAGGAGACGGACGTCTCGAGCAGTGAACTGACTTCCTGAGCATAGAGTTTGTTCGTGGCGGGGTACTTGGGAAAGGAGGATTGGACCCTCGTGCGGTCTCTAATCAGAGCCCGTGCTCTCAACATCACACAACGCCATTTCCCCTTGAGCACCTTGGAACACAAGGGCGATTCCTGGTTGCACTAGGAGCAAGTGTAGAATCCTGAGATGCTAAAATGTTTTCAATTTAGGTGAGCCACTGCAAGGCCTTCTCTCTCTTGGCCCAGTTTGTTCCACCATTCAACTAAATGGCATATCAAGTGTAAGCATGTTGGGGCAACAGGAGTTTTGAGGAACTCACCGAAATTCCCTAACTTTAATACCCGCTGTCTGTGTCTTCATTCCCTGCCCTTTCACTCCCGTCTGTACTGTCACAGTCTGTAAGCTGACAGAACATAATAGCCAGGTGCCAGCAGAAAATTCTCCCCCAGATCCCCGTCCTCATAGGAAGTATGATGAAGCGGTGCTAATTCATTATTTTCCCAGTCTATTGTCGGCTTTTCCTTTAAGACCAATATAATTACATCAATATTCTTCCTAATCCCTTTTTCTTTCCCTCCAGGTTACTCAAAGAGGATCCAGGTCGTTTTCATTCCTTTCCCTCTTTTTTTCTACCACTGGTTCTAAATGAACTAAAGAAAGGTGCATGACCTCACTTATCAGGACGATACAGGATCCCCGTGTATCTTTGACTTGTGCTGTTTAGACATCAGCCTTGCCCCGCCCCCTCCCCTTCCTCCTCTCCTTGTTCCTCTCTTTCTCTCTCCGTCTCGCGCCCACGCACACACACGCTTTACTCCTTATTAATTAGTATTAGAGTTAATGGCCTGAGACACTTTGAAAGGAGACATGATGGTCCCTCATGCAGTTCGGACTCTGGCAAGAGAACAGTCATGTAGCTGGGGGAAGAGACTCCTTGATTTGGCACTAGAATGTTTCCAACGTAGGTTAGGCAGCAATTAAGTGGCACTGACTCAAAGGCCATGCTTTTCGCTCAGCTCACTTGCCCAATCTGACCTTTGCTGGTGCCGTCTCTATAGTTGCTGGTATACATCTGTAGCACTGGCTGTTTAGTACGTTCTCGGACTTTCATCACAGTCCAGCCTTTTTGCCTTCATAACTATCATGAGAATAAAGTGAAAGTCTATAATATCTTCTCTATCATATAAATAATAATATAAAGTGAAAATATAAAGATCTTCGTATAACCTGGCCGTGATCTAAAAACTTGAAGGGATTCGTTGCCAGGAGGTTTGTGTCCCTCTCATAGAATCCTCTCACTGACTTTTGCAGCTGTATTCATGCCAAAAACCTCTTCTAGCTGGCTCTGAAAGCTGAACCTTCCCATCTTGGAGGTTCTTTTCGATCAGTCATCCAGAAACCAACCATTCCTAATGAGTTTGACTATAGCTTACTGCTTTCCAGCAATACCTTTGACGTGGGAGGGAGATGATAAGATTCGTTGATTTTGCTGCCTTATCTTCATCACTGTCATTTTCCTTCCCAGGGATACAACAGTCATCAGCCACTCTCCTAACACCAGCTACGACACGGCTCTGGAAGCTCGCATCCAGAAAGAGGAGGAAGAGATCTTGATGGCCAACAAGCGTTGCCTTGACATGGAGGGCAGGTAAAATATCAATCTGGACCCCAGTGGATCTGAGAAGAAAGTATAGAGACCAGATAGGTCAGGAGGGAAGGGTAGGCATCTTCATTCACAAATGAGAAACCTGATAACGCAGCCTCCCCCGACCCCTGCACCCCTGCCAGCCTGTTCACTTGGGTTTGAAATGCAATGACCCTTACCTTGCTTTCCCCATTGGCTTTGGTAATTGCTTTCCATCTTCCCTCCGCCAGAACCGTATTGTTGGTATTTGTACTCTGGGTATTCCTTCTAGCTTTGGACTTCAACCCTGTGATACAGCAGAATGCACAGTGAAAGAATATCCATTCAGACTTGGAGGTAGGGCACCTGATATCTCTTATAAACTCAGGATCATTTACTTATCAACTCAAGTTGCGGCCCATTCAAAGAAGTCCTCATCTTCTCACTAAGTGCATTGTTCCATTGACTCAGAATCTTCCGTATAGCACCCACTACATCCGTTTACTCTCTTACGTACAGGCCTTTTTCCCACCGGTACCTTGCTGTGGCTTCCTGAGGTGTAAGCAGCGACTCCTGGATGCTCTCCTAGATTCATCTGGGTGTGGAGAAAGGCGTTTTAAAAAAAATTTTTTTAATGTTTATTTTTGAGACAGAGAGAGACAGAGCATGAACGGGGAAGGGTCAGAGAGAGGGAGACACAGAATCTGAAACAGGCTCCAGGCTCTGAGCCGTCAGCACAGAGCCTGACGCGGGGCTCGAACTCACGGACCGCGAGATCATGACCTGAGCCGAAGTCGGCCCCTTAACCGACTGAGCCACCCAGGCGACCCGAGAAAGGCGTTTTTAAAAACACAGCACACCGCCCCTTGCTTTTCAATGCCAAAAGGACTAAACCACTCCTCAGCTGAAAAGATCATGGAAACTCAAGTCCGTGCAGGCAGTGAGACCAGAACATGGAGGTGGCAATGAGATTTTTTATATGTTCTTTGTCTTTGGCTCCTAGGATTAAGACGCTCCATGCCCAAATTATTGAGAAGGACGCCATGATCAAAGTGCTGCAGCAGCGTTCCCGGAAGGAGCCAAGTAAGACAGAGCAGCTGTCATCCATGCGACCAGCAAAGTCTCTGATGTCCATTTCCAATGCCGGGTCAGGCCTGCTCTCACATTCGTCCACGCTGACCGGCACCCCCATCATGGAAGAGAAGCGAGATGACAAGAGCTGGAAGGGGAGCCTAGGTAATGACAGTAGATAAAGAAGATTGAAGTGACGCGTTTAGATAATGTGCCCATTCGGCAAGGAAAGGGAGTGATGGTCCAGATTCTGGAGCAGAAGATATATCAGGTTGGGTATCTGTCCTCCTGAGAGGCTAGCTGCCTATTCAGGAACTCCTCCACACTCTGACGTCTCACTGACAGAACACTGGTGGAAGCCAAGGCCTTAAAAGCTAAGAATTCTGAGTTCTGTTTGGGTGGGAAAGAAGACAAGTTCAGTTTCCTCTAAAAACTTCTCAGACTTGGCCTTTGCCATGCCAGACCTTTTGTCTTTGTCCAAAGCCCATGTGACCTTCATGTCAGTCAAAAGTTCAGAATTCCAGACTTTTCTCTGTTCTCTCCTCCCACATAATACAAGGATTCAGAGTTCTAGTTAAGCTAAATGGAGCTGGGTGGCAGGTTTTTGTTACCCGAATGTTCTGAGATGAGAACTGAATGTACTTTTTCATTCCATTTCTGTCCATTCCTTCCCCTCTAATCAAAACCCCAGAAGCACTGTGGATACCACGAGGCACATTTTTAGAGGCTAAGAAAGCCAGCTTTGTATTTTAATTGTAGGTCTTTTTGTTGCTTCTGATACCTTCCTTGGTCCTCTGATGCTTGAAGTGTCCTTTGGATAGAGTAGGCATTTCGGGGGCCCCCGGTCTTCATGAGAACGTTAGGTTACACAGTTATCGTAGCACTCATCCGTGACCACCGATCGTTCCCCCACTCCTTTCTGGCTGGCTGGTCATGGAAGACGTGGGTTGTAAGTGGAGCCAAGTAGAAGCCTTCTGCAAGCTCAGTGGAGATCAATCACCGCTGGAAAAGTAGATCAAAACAGATCCGCGGGAGACTTAAAGGCTTAATACACCGTGCTGGGGTGGAGAACGAGGACCAGAAGGGACGGGCCTGCCGAACCGATTTCCTGGGTTCCTCGGAGGCGCAAGTGGGACTCGCGTCCCGTTGTTCGTGCTTCTCCTGAACCTCCTGCAAGGAAGACGACGTAACCCGATGTCTGCATTTGAGGAACCCGTACTTTTCTGACCTCTTGCCGTCTTCCCTTTGTAGGTATCCTCCTGGGTGGGGACTACCGCGCCGAGTCCGTGCCCTCCACACCGTCGCCGGTGCCGCCCTCCACTCCCCTGCTCTCCGCTCACTCCAAGACGGGCAGCCGCGATTGCAGCACGCAGACGGAACGGGGCACGGAACCCAGCAAAACCGCAGCTGTTGCTCCCGTCTCTGTCCCCGCGCCAGCCGCCGCTGCCGCCGCCACTGCTGCCGCCATCACTGCCAACGCTGCCACCAACACCACCACCATGGTAGCCGCTGCTCCACTTGCTATCGCTGCTGCTGCTGCTCCTCCGGCTACCGCCGCCGCCGCCCAGTCTCCAGCAACCGCTGCTGCTGCTGCTGCTGCTGCTGCTCTTGCGGCTGCCGTTTCTCCAGCTGCTGCCGCTCAGGTTCCGGCCGCTGCCTCCGCCGCCGCCGCCGCCGCTGCTGTCGCGCCTCCTGCTGCTGTTCAGGTTGCTCCAGCTGCTCCGGCTCCGGTTCCAGCTCCGGCTCCGACTGCGGTTCCGGCTCCAGCAGCGTCTCCGGCTTCTGCTGCGGCTCAGACTCAGGCACCAACTCCAGCTCCGACTGCGGCTGCTACTCCGGCTCCAGCTCCAACTCCAATTGTGGCTCAGGCTGACGCTTCTGCAAGTCCAGCTGCCGGCTCTGGACCACGTCGTTTGTCTATACCAAGTCTGACCTGCAATCCAGATAAGACAGGTAATGATCTTCCATACCCCAGGTAGCCTTGGGTTCTGCCCACTATTACGGATTGCTTGTTGGCACCCTGTGGTGTAGACACAGCCGGTCGTTGGGCCAGAGTTGTTCGGGTTTTAAAGGGGATTGATCCCAAGCGATGGGTGCAGAGCCCGTAAATGACTTTTTGGGACACGAGGATGGGAGCAGAAGTGCGTCGAGGTGGTTCTTCCAGTTGCGGTAAATGCTCAGGTGAACAAGGGGAGGTGGAGTCAGGCAAGTCTCACTTGGCCACCGGCTTAGTGGCTGGAACGCTGGCTGTTTCTAGCAATCTGAGTCTTTACTCGATCCCTAAGTGGTTTCTAACCCCCTGTTTCCATTCAGATGGCCCCGTTTTCCACTCCAATACTCTGGAAAGAAAAGCTCCCATTCAGATCCTGGGACAAGAGCCTGACGCAGAGATGGTGGAATATCTCATCTAAACGGCCTATTCAAGAGCTGCAGTTTATCAGCAAGAGTGCTTTTAACCATTTTTCCTTTTTGATTGTTCTTATTTTGAGGGTGAGGACAAGGGGTGGGGGGGATGTTTTTTAAAGGGACTTTTTATTGAAACAATATAGTACTTAAGTAATACCATACAAACTCCAGTCTATTCTGGTACACACTCAGAGAGTACCTCTAAAGACAGATGAATCAGAATGTGCTCTAAAGTTTATTGTTTGGGTTTATACAAACACTTGGACTGTTAATCGCTGGGTATACATGAATGTTTGCAATGTGCGTGATTTTATTTAGCATTTCCATATTCCAGATCATTTTCATTGAAGAGCACAGTATGTTTGGGAGACAGTGCGTAACATGTAGATTTCAGAAGTGGGAAGCCGGAGAGAATTTGCACCTATGCTGTTTTGTATACTTACCATCTAGGCAGCATCCAGAGAGGGAGCTCTCATCTCGGGCTCATGAAAGGGAATAGGTTTAGGAGCTGTGTAAGCTGAAGAAAAGGCAGGGGATATTGGGGTGTGGAAGGGTGCTGGAGCTAATTTTCCCTCCCAATTTCCCAGCTACCCTGTGCCAGGAGATTGTGTTTATCTTCATTTCAGTGGTGCTTTGGAAGTGGATTCTTTTGGTTCCCTCGCGGAGGTTCATACATTCATATATATACTCTGGAGTAATTTATGCATTTGGATAATTAATATATTGCTTTCAGATGCTAGGAGAGTAAATTAGCTGTGTGCCGTACAACTTCCTCCTTCTTAGGGAGTGAGACCTTCGGAGGCCTTGATGGAGAGTTGCGCGAGGTGCTGCGTGTGGCCATGAGCACAGCTCGCCTGGCTTTCCTGAGACCAATCTGGTTAGTGTTCATTGTTTCTCCAGCACAAGTTCACTGGCTGTGTCACCAGTTTCAGGTTTCCAATCATTTGCAAAACGAGGAAGCATTTTTGTTGATGGGCTGAATGCTTTGAATTTCTGGTGACTACTTTCAAATAACTCCGTTTGTTTTCCCCAATTCTTAGCATAACGTCTTAAAAGGCATCGTTGACTGTAACCTCCAAGGGAATAGCAGTCGGGGGAGACTTGGGCTGCAGATGTATCCTTAGCTGTCCCTTCTCACTGCCAGTGACTCCATCTTGGAATACCTTTGGAGAGCAGCAGAAAATGTGTATGTGGACAGGGACCAAGGAGGCCATGGCTCCGGAGCTTTGCCATAGGGCCGCCTCCAGGGACACAAAAGGGCTGCTTCTTGCCACAGGTCCCTGCTCTGTGTCACCTCTCTGCCCTTAATTAAGGTGACAGATCCACAGACAATGTCATTAAGATCAATTTTCAGGGGTATGGGAGGGTGAGGGAAGTGGGGGGTGTTAGGTAAGGGTGGGGGGGGTAGAAGTTTGGGGATGTGTTAGTTAGAAACCGGATTAATAGAAGAGTAGGCCTGATATATTACGTTGTGAAGCATAGTGGCTGGAAGGAACTTCAGCAATAGAGCCCTACCCCCTCGTTTTAGTGGTGAGGAATTTGAGACCTGGAGAGGTTAGTTTTTCAAGATCACACAACACAGCTTTCCATTTTGCCAATTACCATGCTTATTTTGGGAAACCCTTATATACCAAAAGCCTCATCTTAAGAAAAGGCATCTTCATGGACCAGGGCATTCGTAATTTGTAAAATGCCCCTGGCCTCGTGGCTTTGTCCAGGGTTCTAGACTCCCACCTTGCTTCCCCTGCAGTGCCTTTTTGCAAGGTTTTCTCTTTACTGGTCCTCATTTCAACATTGACTCACATGAAACTCCCCCCTGAGCAATCCCCCTCACTTCTTGTCTTGCTATGGGATTGGCTGTCTCGGGTCATCTTACAGGGTCCCTCCGTGACCACGGGAATGGCATATTTAACGGTATTTTTGTGTCATTCCTAATTACCTGCCAAAGGAGTTCTTTTTGTGGGGCCGGGGGAGAGATGAGGGAGAGTGACGTGATTTTCAGCCAGTCTAGACATTTCAATAAAGAAGTGATCGTCCTACACGTTAGTCTTCAGTCATCAAATGAATCCCGCCCCTTCATACCGCCCCTTCAGTCATAAGGGGAAAAGTCCTCAAATAGAAAGCAAACTTGAGGACTGCTGCTTTCTAGCCAAATAAGTAAATACAAATAAGATGAAACCTTTCATCTGCTCCTTTTATGGTTATTACACATTGCCAGATTTTTTGCTAGCTCTGGGAGCCATGATTTTAATCACATTCTGGAAGGTGACAAATGTCATACGTTCCACGCTGTGTGGCAGCCGTCTCTTTAGCCTCATGTACTTTGGGGAAAGGAGGAAGTTCTTGGCTGAGTACTACTTTGAACTTTCCACAGCATCTCTGCCCCCTCACACCAGAGGCAGTCCCTTTTGGCTCAGTTTTTTTTTTTTTCAACGTTTATTTATTTTTGGGACAGAGAGAGACAGAGCATGAACGGGGGAGGGGCAGAGAGAGAGGGAGACACAGAATCGGAAACAGGCTCCAGGCTCTGAGCCATCAGCCCAGAGCCTGATGAGGGGCTCGAACCCACGGGCCGCGAGATCGTGACCTGGCTGAAGTCGGACGCTCAACCGACTGCGCCACCCAGGCGCCCCGGCTCAGTTTTTTTTTAATCCCAGGTGATTTGCTTAAGTAATATCGTACATCTAAGAGATGGAAGGAGTCCATGGCATATGCTGTGTTTACAAAGAAGGTAGATTCAGCCTTTTCAGAAAATTTCTAATAGGTGTCCTTCTAAAGATTCAGGTTTATGGGAGAAATGTCAAGTCAATCACCTTTTTCACAATTGTCAGGGTATAACACTTGGGGGATCTTTCTGGACTCCCACTTATCTATGCATTTTACTGGCACCTCAGGACAGAAGGGTGACCTTGTCTTAACGCGTACTGCCTGGTGATCTCTGGGGACCTATTTAAGTCAGTTGTACCCTGATGCCCCATGCACAGAAAAACTTCATTAGAATGAATTGTACTTGATGGAAAACTCCCATTAACCATTTTTCATTAACGAAAAGTAGCTTGCACATTCTCTTAAAATCATGTATCTCGATTGTTGTTTTCATGAAGGATTTATTTTCGATGTTGCTTTCGAGCTTCAGGGTGACAGGGAGAGCATGAGCCTGAAATATCTGCCATCATCTGCCACAGAAAACATACCAAGTGTTCGCTTGTTACGCGGTTGGGTGGGCACAACGATTGGAAAATGAGCAAACTGATTGTGCAAACTACTTTTTATGCAGAGCCTAAACACTCATAACGCGGCAGCTTAAAGTATATACATATGGACTAACTTTTATAAATTATATTCTCATGTCTGTTAGCCGTACAATCTCCTGTTATCTCAGTTGCTCCTTCACATATGGAATGTGTTACTTAAAATGTGTGCATTCTTACGGAACATGTTTTCAAAGGAAGGCATCAGGATGGGCTAATTGCCATCAATTTCAGCCCGCCACGATCCTTGGAAATTTATCTCCCGAGTGTCATTCATCATCAGTAGGACAAGTGTCAGAGCTTGTTTATTTTTTTCCAGTAGCAGCGGTGGGTTACATGGAATCATCAAACCTCCTTTCTGGCCTCCCTTGGGATTAATGGCATGTGTTAATAAAATGGATAGCTGGGGTTGGCAGATGGCTAGAGAAGAATCGCCTTCGGTGTAAAATGTATGTGGCCCCTTGTTGATTGCGACCCCATTCTGTAATCGACTGAGCTAGTTCCAATAAAGTTAAGCAGGTTTGAATCCACTTTGTGCCTATCTTTTCACTGACAATAAAGTTAGCTATTTTAAAACGCAGTACTGTGTGGAAAATGCTTTGGTGTTTACCCAACAGAGGCTGTATTTACCCTGTATCAGTGATTAGTTTCAATTTACTATGCACTGAAATTGCCTTTCAAGGGCAGCATTGGACAGAATTTGCATTTGCTTAAAGTACGGAATGTGATTATAAAGTATTAAGACAACACTACGGGCCACAGGCTCTAATCGCTTCCTTTATATATTCAGGCAGCATATATTAAAAGCTTTGCATCTTTTTATCTCCCTGTTTCTGAGGGCTAAAATGATGGCCACCCAAAGCAGAGAATTCATCCTTTAGTTAACAATTTGGAAGGCCCCTTGATGTTTCTTTTGTACCCTTGTTCTTATGCCAATTCATCAGTTTTGGTTGAGGGAGCTTGTTATTAAAAGCAAATCAAAACCGCGAACAAGCCGGCTTTTTTGGACTGAAAATGTTCAAGCTGCCTTTACACTGCCCTCCCTGCACCTCCTGTTTACCACTGTGTCCCACCCTGACTGGGGAGGGGACACGGGCTTTGAGTTGACACTTTTTACAGCGAAATTGGCTTGATGGGTGTTGCAACATGGATGGGAGGAGGGTATAGAATTCATTAAACTCAAAATTTGATTTTTTTAAATTAAGTTGGGAGACATATTCCTTCCATATTTAAAAAAATTTTTTTTTAATGTTTACTTATTTTTGACAGAGAGAGAGAGAGAGAGCATGAGTGAGGGAGGGGCAGAGAGAGAGGGAGACACAGAATCCGAAGCAGGCTCCAGGGTCCGAGCTGTCAGCACAGAGCCCGACGACGCGGGGCTTGAACTCACGGACTGTGAGATCATGACCTGAGCCCAAGTCGGACTCCCAACCGACTGAGCCACCCAGGCACCCCATATTCCCTCCATATTTATGACAAGTGCATTGAAAACTGTGCGTGAAAGCCCACTCCTCTTTTTTGGGACGAAGAAGATGGTATTCAGTCAACTGCACCTTCGTACAAAGGTTTGCGAGGCATTTCTTTCAGAAGTACGTTGTGCCCAGTTCTTAGTGAGCCGTCATACGTGGGGAGAAAAAACAAGTGTTCCCTCAAAAGTGACGAAGATTGCCTTGTGGGAGCATCTGTAGATATTCTCCAGTATTATAACTGATCCGATTATCCGTGTGGTACTTCACCTCCCCTCCTGTGGGCAC